ACAGGGCTAACCCTACATGCCCAATATCTCTGAAGGCGTAGAAAAGGGTCCTATAATTTTTAATTTACAATTACATCATAAAATGATACACCCTCACATCACCACGTAAACAGTCTATGAGCACATGGCTAGGCTTACATTATCACATCATCACTCGTATATTACAACTGATAATATCATATAAACTTATATTCTGACATGAACACATAATTATCACAAACAATACGTGTATGTTAGCAAGTAATGGACCCAGTATGTGTATGTTAGCAAGGAATGGACCCTGTACTGTAAGTTAACAAGTAATGGTTAGTATGTAGTTAGCTGGGTTAGTCCTCATTGCACTCCGGTATGTCCATGTTTGCTCAAGGAATGGACCCTCAGGATTATCCCCATGTCCGATGTAATAGTACCAGTTCTATGTTGATTAACAAGTCTTGGACCGTAGCTGTGTGCGTCTCGTTTGTTGCTGTGCCGATCGTTATGGACCAAGTCTGCCATTGTGGCGAGTGATGTGGATTAACTGCCACCAAAGTCCTGTATCCTAGTAAGTTTCTCTGAGGGCATTGATAATATTAGCATGATTATAGGCCCCAGGACCGTGTATGTGAGTAGCGGATCCACCCAGTATGTGCATGCTAGTAAGTTTCCATCGACCCAGTGCGTATATGTTAACAAAATATTGGTGACCTTCAGTATACAGTATGTTCTGTAATTATAGATTCAGGACATGTGTCTTCGTAAACCTGCCTGAACCCAGTATGATCATACTCATTGAATCAATGATTACCAAAAACGTGTATGTTAGTAAGTGATGGACCCAGTACGTGTATGTCAGTAAGTAATGGACCCAGGATGAGTATGTCAGTAAGTAATGGACCCAGTAGGTGTATGTCAGTAAGTAATGGACCCAGTAGGTGTATGTTAGTAAGTCGTGGACCCAGTATGTGTATGTTAGTAAGTCGTGGACCCAGTATGTGGTTTAGTAAGTTGTATATGTGTATGTTAGTAAGTAATGGACCCAGTACGTGTATGGTAGTAAGTAATGGACCCAGTATGTGTATGTTAGTAAGTAATGGACCCAGTAGGTGTATGTCAGTAAGTAATGGACCCAGTAGGTGTATGTCAGTAAGTAATGGACCCAGTATGTGTATGTTAGTAAGTTATGGACCCAGGACATGTGTGTCAGTAAGTAATGGACCCAGTATGAGTATGTCAGTAAGCAATGGAACCAAAACGTGTATGTCAGTAAGTAATGGATCTCTCGTGCAAACTGTGCATCAAGCACAAAGTGTTAGAACAATATTTATATAGACCAATCAGCACCAGATGGGTGATTGGCCAATATAGTTGGGCTACCCTTTCTTTCCCATGACATTTCCCAGCAACCATTTTTGGGCTATGCCGATCTGGGAGACTAATTTATTTTTTTTAGCTCCACCCGGATGTTGACTCAGGCTGACAGACAATTCTCTAGTTACTGCACCTCAGACTCAGACTAACAGACAATTGTCTAGTTACTGCGCCTCGGACTCAGACTAACAGACAATCCTCTAGTTACTGCGCCTTGGACTCAGGCTGACAGGCAATCGTCTTGTTACTGTGCCTCGGACTCAGACTAACAGACAGTTGTCCAGTTACTGCGCCTCGGACTCAGACTAACAGACAGTTGTCTAGTTACTGCGCCTCGGACTCAGACTAACAGACAGTTGTCTAGTTACTGCGCCTCGGACTCAGACTGACAGACAATTGTCTAGTTACTGCGCCTTAGACTCAGGCTGACAGACAATTGTCTAGTTACTGCCCCTTGGACTCAGACAGTTGTCTAGTTACTGCGCCTCAGACTCAAACTAACAGACAGTTGTCTAGTTACTGTGCCTCGGACTCAGACTAACAGACAGTTGTCTAGTTACTGTGCCTCGGACTCAGACTAACAGACAGTTGTCTTGTTACTGCGCCTCGGACTCAGACTAACAGACAATTGTCTAGTTACTGCACCTCGGACTCAGACTAACAGACAATTGTCTAGTTACTGCACCTCGGACTCAGACTAACAGACAGTTGTCTAGTTACTGCCCCTGTGTGGTCGTCAGGAATTTTGCAGTTTAGGGATTTCATTTGTGCTCCCCCAACAGAAAACATCTTGGGGATCTCCATGTTGAAGTGATTAAGCTGTTGATCTCATACTCCGGAGGCAATGGGTTTATTTCACGGCTGCCTTGGTTCATGATGGAGACCCCTGGTGATCAACACCGGAGCTGAAGTGTCTGTGATTTGATCAGCCCTCTCGGCAGACTGCTAATCACTCTTCAGAAATCGACTGAGCCATATGGGATAAAACCAGGCGCAATGAAGTCAAAACATGTATCACCTTACTAAGCATTTGAATCTAGGGGTCCTGAATGAGAGGCCAGAATTCCTAACTGCTTGGCCAGCGACTACTCTATTGTCTATCTGTAAAAAAAAAAAAAAAAAGTAAAGATCCCTTATTACGCCTAAGGCGCATCGGGTATATGGGCAGAGCGTTCCATATTTTTACAGACCAATCGGCACTCGGTGGGTAATGTGGTCAGCATTACGCCGGCCGACTTTACTTCCCCAGGACAGCCATCCTGGTGCCCATTTAAGGCTGGGTCAACCTGCGACGTCCCATACCACGATAAAAATCCACGCAGCCTGCAGTGGGTTTCGATCGCGGTACATTGGATTACAAGCGGTACGTTGGATTACGAGTCGGACTCGCAACGCCTTAGCCACGGACGCCGCCATGTCTATCTGTAGCATATAATAATAATTATCACAAATTTCAGACATGGCACACAAACTTTCACACAGCTTCAATATTTTTTTATAATGTCATGTTAGGAATATGCCAGTAATGACGCCGCCCCCCCCCCCCCCCCCCCCCCAGCTCGCGGATCACCTGGATGCAGATGTGCTAAATCAAATGTGTGGCGATGCACCAGGACCGAAGCTTATACTGGCTAAGACCTATTTACATCTTTCTGAGGTCATCCTAGAAACAAGTTCCCCACCCGAGAGCTTGGCCAATGAGAATTGGATTCACGCTTCATTCAAAGTCAGTGTCTCTGCTCAATATGCACGAAATCAACCAGCAGCACACAAATAAACTGCACCTGTAAAACGGATGTGCATGCAAAACTGAAGTCCCGGAGCAAAAAAACAGTTCAGAAGTGAACAGTCAACCAGGATTTTCCCAGGGAGTTTACAGCCGGGGAACATGAAGATTAATGAAAAAATCTTACGCTATGGTAGTGCAGATATTTATTTGTGTCCGAAGAAAAAAATCTATATCGTTTCTGAGGATTGAACCTGGGTCTCCTGCATGAGAGCTCAGTGGTCTAACAATTAGCCGGCGACCATTCAATGTATCAATTACCTTCACATTATCACACAAACTTCTATGCTGCATAAACATTTATATGCTGTTCTATGTACGCTTGAAAATCATCCAATCAACACGCTTATGTGGTCATTTTAACATCATGGGGTCATTCAATAAATACATATGGATTACAGAAAACACTCATAAATCATCAAGATATCAAATGAACACCCTTCCAACGTCTGTTATCAGAAATATTCAAATAATTGTTGTCAGTAACATTCAACTGTTAACAGTAACATTAAAATATGTTATTAGTAACATTCCAATGCTTATGTTATCACATAACCATGTTCATTTCATTAGATGAACAATACTGAAACGATCATTATAAGTAACATTCAAATGCATTCGTTATAGATAATCAGGAATGAAATCATAACAGAACAAAAAGTGTACACAGTCTCAATTCTAAATTAAATACAAAGACTGAAATAAAACGGTTTGCACACTCAGAGAGAATGCCTTGTGAAAAAGAGGAGAGGGACATAGAGCCCAAGGTAGACCAAGAACAACATGTCTATGGGCGAGGCGGCCAGAACAGGAAGAAGCTGAATCTTATTTCTCCCTCGACACCGGAAGTAGTACAAGAAGATCTAAAGGAAACAAAGATTGATAACATCCAAACACTTGCATTACCAGTAGCACTCAACTGTTTAGGTTATCTTTAACATCCAAACACTTGCATTACCAGTAGCACTCAACTGTTTAGGTTAATCAATAACATTCAAACACTTGCATTACCAGTAGCACTCAACTGTTTAGGCTATCAATAACATTCAAACACTTGCATTACCAGTAGCACTCAACTGTTTAGGTTAATCAATAACATCCAAACACTTGCATTACCAGTAGCACTCAACTGTTTAGGTTATCTTTAACATCCAAAAATTTGCATTACCAGTAGCACTCAACTGTTTAGGTTAATCAATAACATTCAAACACTTGCATTACCAGTAGCACTCAACTGTTTAGGCTATCAATAACATTCAAACACTTGCATTACCAGTAGCACTCAACTGTTTAGGCTATCAATAACATTCAAACACTTGCATTACCAGTAGCACTCAACTGTTTAGGCTATCAATAACATTCAAACACTTGCATTACCAGTAGCACTCAACTGTTTAGGCTATCAAATTATCAGTAAAATAAAATGTAACATTAACAATATGACACTGTGCTAGGGGTCTAAAGATGGCCACCCAACTTTTGAGTCACCAAAAATTAGCAGGGTTATGTTGTGTTTGAACAAGCAAGGGGTTAAACCTAGAAATTCATTGGTGACAGAGGATGGTGGACAGCGAGCCCACTTGCCACTCTAATAAGTGAAAACAACATTCATAGAGCATAACAGCTACCATCTCTCTTTCAAACACGCTCTACCCCACCTTCTCGCTCAACCTCCCCCCACCCTCTATATCTCTTGCCCAAACAAAAACAAATCTGCAGCATTTCCTCTTTAAGTTAATAAATTAACAAATATTCAGGCTATGATTTGCAAGAATTCCCGGACATCAGTCACAAAATGACTATCAAGAAACAACATGTCGACATCAAAAACAATGTAAATATCTTTTATTAAACTCAGCGATGATCAAACAACGGTCCCTGGCCAGGAAATGACCGACAGTGTCACTGCTCCGTCAATTTGTTTGAGGATTTCGACGGCAGCTGCATGACTGGTTGAAGATAGGTGGTGCTCATTGACTGTCAGCAAAATGTCCCCACATCTGAGTGGAGAGAAAAAACATTTGTCAAGTTCAGAAACAATATACTAGACAGATAACACAATAAACAAGATGGATACAATGAACAAGACAGATACAATGAACATGATGCATACAATGAACAAGATGGATACAATGAACAAGATGGATACAATGAACAAGACAGATACAATGAACAAGACGGATACAATGAACATGATGGATACAATGAACAAGATGGATTTAATGAACAAGATGGATACAATGAACAAGCCAGATACAATGAACAAGCCAGATACAATGAACAATACAGATACAATGAACAAGCCAGATACAATGAACAAGCCAGATACAATGAACATGATGTATACAATGAAAATGATGCACACAATGAACAAGACAGATACAATGAACATGATGGATACAATGAACAAGCCAGATACAATGAACAAGCCAAATACAATGAACAAGACAGATACAATGAACAAGCCAGATACAATGAACATGATGGATACAATGAACAAGCCAGATACAATGAACAAGACAGATACAATGAACAAGCCAGATACAATGAACATGATGGATACAATGAACAAGCCAGATACAATGAACAAGACAGATACAATGAACAAGACAGATACAATGAACAAGAAAGATACAATGAACAAGACAGATACAATGAACAAGACAGATACAAGGAACAAGACAGATACAATGAACAAGATAGGTACAATGAACAAGACAGATACAATGAAAATGATGCACACAATGAACAAGCCAGATACAATGAACAAGCCAGATACAATGAACAAGACAGATACAATAAACAAGACAGATACAATGAACAAGACAGATACAATGAATAAGACAGATACAATGAACAAGCCAGATACAATGAACAAGACAGATACAATGAACAAGACAGATACAATGAACAAGACAGATACAATGAACAAGACAGATACAATGAACAAGCCAGATACAATGAACAAGACAGATACAATGAACAAGACAGATACAATGAACAAGACAGATACAATGAACAAGACAGATATAATGAACAATGAACAAGCCAGATACAATGAACAAGACAGATACAATAAACAAGACAGATACAATGAACAAGACAGATACAATGAACAAGACAGATACAATGAACAAGACAGATACAATGAACAAGACAGATACAATGAACAAGACAGATACAATGAACAAGACAGATACAATGAACAAGACAGATACAACGATCAAAACAGATACAATGAACAAGACAGATACAATGAACAAGACAGATACAATGAACAAGACAGATACAATGAACAAGACAGATACAATGAACAAGACAGATACAATGAACAAGACAGATACAATGAACATGATGCATACAATAATAAAGATGGATACAATGAACAAGATAGATACAATGAACAAGCCAGATACAATGAACAAGACAGATACAATGAACAAGCCAGATACAATGAACAAGACAAATACAATGAGCGTGATACAATGAACAAGGCAAAAATAATGACAAAGATAAAATACAACGAAAAAGACTGATACACAGAATAAGATAGATACAATGAACAAGACATGAATAAAATAGCCAGTCAAGCTGTTAATTGTTAAAGCATTGGCAATAATTAAATCTACTTACTTAAGGCGACCATCTTTTGCAGCAGGAGTATCAGGTACAACAGATTTAACAAAAACAGGCAAATTTCCATGGCTGCAGTCTGCCCCGCCCACAATGGAGAATCCTAGACTTCCTGTTGGTGACCTGAGTAAAGTGATGACCTTGACCAGGCTGCAGGTTCTACAGAAGGATGAGGATATGAAGAACAGATTAACATAATGTGAGGACAACCAAAGAAGTACATATGTTGACTGGAGTTAAGAACCGATATCAAAGCCCATAAGGCTTGCCATAAGTACTCTAATCCTTATCTTCACCTGACAGCACAGAGTTGCAATTCTGAAAGTCCGAGAAGCAGTCTTGACTGTATGTCCATGACCAGCTCCATCCTACGGGCCATGCTGCTAACGTCACCAAACTGGACTAACGATCTGTTAAGTTTTCACTCTGACAGTTCCATTTTTCGGTGTGTTTCCTGCCGTCACCAACAAAACATCTAGAAATAAGCTTGAGATTTAAACATATATATAGATACACACAAGATGACAACATAGAAACATAAGGTACACGATTTAAAGCCTGCAAACATCACACACAAAAATTGCTTATGCATATTGTTAATGCAGTTTACATGCATGTTTCAATGATGAAATAGGTGGTATCTGTGGTGAGGGTTGTTCTAAAGTAAGCATTGCTTCCAAAGTGCTGCCATCTCTGGCAAATGTTTGTCTGAATAACTATAGGAGAGACCAAAATGATTTATCCTTGCTGGCTATGTGACTACATTATGTGACGTACTACAGCTAAAAATGTAAGTAGCTTCTGTTGCACTTTATGTTTCTATGTTGTCATATTGTGTGTAACTACATATATGTTTAAGCAAGCTTATTTCTAGAATGTGTGTGGGGGGGGGGGGGGGGTGGGGGGGGGGGGGGACGGCAGGTAACACCGAAAAAAAAAAAACGGGACTGTCAGAGTGAAAACTTAACGTATTGTTAGCCCGGTTTGGTGATGTCAGCAGCATGGCCCATCAGATAGGGACAGTCTTCGTATGTCCCTCTTGATGTTCTTCTGTGTGGAGTGTCAGCCAGATCCTCTCGTCACTCCCCACCCATCACTGTCTCTAGACCGTAATGATCTATTTGTGCCTCTGCACTGTTCCCTCCCTCCTTTAGGACCCTCACAACATATGGCTTGTCATGCACCAATTTACCCCCAAGTGGTGCAGAACCAGCCAGTCTGTCTATCTGTTCCTTTCCCAACACATCTGCATGCCTTTAGACAAAATATTAAAGACGCCAACTACCACAGCCATCTGAAGTGATGCTTGCCACTCTACTCAGAACTTGCCTGTCTGCATCCTTCTCCGCATACTTTGTAAATTGGATACAATCCCAAAATGTGTGCCACTAGTTCTCAAGAAGGTGAAAAGCTGCTATGACTGCCTCCACCTCCATTCCCATAGCAGATGAAGTGTTAACATATGCTAGGCTTTGTTGTCCTAAGTCACCAGAAGTACATATGTGACCTGAATAAAGTGACTTTCACCAGGCACCTTCGTCTTCTTGTGCTAGCCTGAAGCAGACAGACTTCAGTGAACACAATTTTCCAATGCTCAATATCAGTTGAAATTCTGATAATGAATTGGTGGGAGGTGCTTTGCATGGTCTCCACGCGTACATTGTGGCAAGCAGAAAGTCTGTGCAACAAGTGACAGCATGAGATACTTGGGGCTGGTCGAGTAAGCGAGGGGAAGCCTGAGCTAGACTCGTGGTCAGTTGGTTACCAGAAGTCGTAGAAGACGGTTGTATTAATAGAAGATGTAGTTCTTATGTTCGCTCGAATGACCAGTGTTTGAATATGTCGCAAGCGATGGAAGTGTGAATAATTGTTGGAGCATGTCGAATAAATGTAACAGAATAAACTGATAGCATGTACAAGGAAGCTGAGTGGCATTTGTGTTATCAGCCCTAGACATTAGAGCAGTGCAAGTAGTAATGTTGCAAAGCCCTAGACGTTAGAGCAGTGCAAGTAGTTATATTGCACAGCCCTAGATGTTAGAGCAGTGCAAGTAGTTATGTTGCAGTAATCATATAGAGAGTGAACCATGGCGAAAGCAGATATGTCGTAAGCCGCGGTACATTGCAGGTGTAGTCGAAAGCTAAAGTTCATTCCATCCTTGTTCAGAAACTCACTAAATAAAATTTATTGTAAACCACAAGGACACCACATCCACTCACTGGGGCATCTGAAGCCAATAGATCCAAGATGGTGTGAAATTGTGATTTCCCTGAGTGATTTCCCTTGAGTCTATGACCCTGAGTGTCAAGACCTTGACATCTGACCTCTGCCGGATCAGCCGAACGCTCTCAGCATGAGACAGATTCAGCAGACTTGAGCCATTAATGGACAGAAGAACATCTCCTCTCTGTTCAACATAAAACAGAATAATCACCAATAACAAATTTACTGGCACTTTCTTATTAGCCGACAACAGGGAAAATCCACAGGTCATGGGACCGTCAAATATTTTAGGAAGTGATAGATTAAGCATATAGTTTTGGTTAGGGTTAGGTAAATGCACACAAAATCTTGGCCATGGAAGAAACACGCTATAGCACAGAAAACAACCCTCTAAAATACTGGTCTGTGACGTCATTAGTGGTCGGCTAAAAAAAAAACAGCATCAATTTACTTGTTCAATCATCATCATCAATCAGCAAGTCCTTTACAAACTGTCGCTTTCTTCACGCCACGCCTGAAAATCTAGCCAGCTCTCCAGCCCCATGTGCTTTTAATGTCAATGCATCTTCAATGTCTTGTATTCATCTTCGCCGTGGTCGAACCCTGCCTCGCCTTCCACAAACTGAACCTTCCATTACTGTCTTTCTCCAGCCACCATGACGCTTGATGTGGCCAAAATACTTTAACTTTCGGGACAGGATGCTGTTTATGAGCCAGTTCTTCCTGATGTTCAACTCGTTCTGAATGTCGATGTTTTCCCTCTTCCTGGTCCAAGGTATTCAAAGAATTTTTCTATAGCATTTCAATTCAAAAGCTCCAATCTTTTTCCTCAGTGACTGAGTGAGAGTCCAAGACTCGCAACCGTAAGCTGCCACAGGAAAAATGCATTATCTCAAGATTTTTACTTTAACCAATTTACTAGCGCTTTGCCATAGGTTCTTCATGTTATTTAATCTCTGCATTTCAATCATGGTAACAGTAAACACAGATCTGTACCAGATAGTGCTGCTGGGACATGAAGACTTGAGCCTCAACAAAGTCTAACCCCCGGATAAATGAACTGGACGTGAGCCTCATGCATAAGAAGCTTTAAAAACTGATGTAGTAGTTTTCTCTTTGCTTCCACGCCATGAGTAAAGTATCATGAAAAGATATCAAACCGTACAGAAAAGCAGAACCAGTTAGCATTACATTATCACAAACATTCAAATGACAAGTAGACTGCCTTAATCAGCACGATACATGAATATAAAATTCCACCCAAAAAAAAGACAACAATACACTAAATCACTTAAATGAAGTATCTCAGAGAAAAATCACACATCCGTCTGATCAGCTGAATCTCTGACTCATGTGTGATCAATGGAAATAAAAGCCAGAAATAGATGTGAAAGGCAAGGGCCCTACCTAAATAAATTAGACAAAACTGTGCTGGAAGTTTACTCCCCTAGGTAAATTAGAGCCCATTAGATAGATAAGGCAGCTCTCGAGAGACAAACTCTCTCACTGGAGTAGCCAGACATGATGGCCGTAACCCCCTATAAGTTTTGCGAAGGACTTTTTTTTTATACCAGCTGCACATCAGGCATAAGATATTCATTTGAACCATCTCATATTTCTTATGCAATAGCTCGCTCTCATTTAATGTCCGACAGAGGGTGCTAAAATGTTACATAGAACCTGTTTTGCTGTTTGGCAGCAAATCTTAGAATGTCAGTGAACAACACTGTTCTTTGGCCACATAATGAAAAGAGTGACATTGGAGAACATCGTGACAACTGGTAAAATCAGTGGGATAAGGGGTAGAGACCGACCATGAGAGATGATGCTAGATGGGCTGAAACGATGGCATGAAGGGATATTATCAAGAGAGCTGTTTTAGGCAACCAGTGAGCGCCTACGCCGGCTGGCAGGGCACATGATGATGATCTCATATTTCATCGTCTCGACAGGTAATGTGATCAACATCCCACCCGTCATTTTGAATTCGCTGAACATTACCTGGTACTCATTTTACGCTGGGTCGACCTGAGAGTCAAACTTTGTTTTGAAGAAAAGTGTTGCTGAAGTCTGGACACGTAGGAAATAAAGAATAAAAGTGCTAAATTTGATGGCTAATATGGATTTACTACACCGAGTTCACTTGCATTTTGCGAAGCGCATCAACCTTTGCATGGCAAATGATGAAAATTAAACTAAAGACAATATTTAATAAGCCAAATAAATAAAATGTTAATACATTTAATTTCATGAAAATTTACATTCTTTGCAAATGTGTCCAGACTTTAGGACACACTGATTTATCTCTTTGCACACATCTGTGTTTTTCCCAGGTGGCAGCAGACAGCCTTGCAATGGTTTTGACAGTGGTAAAGAATGCCGACAATTCAGGAGAAATGGCAAACTAGTGAATGTAAATTTGCCTTGAAAAACTACAACAGTGAAAGAAATGCTGGGGTTGATTCTGCAATGCCTTGTAAAGGACAGGCAACTAATGTTGTCTAATACAAGATGTAGCCTCATCTTCCGATAAATTTATTCCCACTTTGCAAGTTGTCTGGATATCATCCCCTGACCTTTTTATCTTTCTCTTGTTGTTTAAGAAAGTCAGACAGACATCACAGTAATATTCTGCCATTAAGAATTAAATACATTCGACAGGCAGAGCAGGAATACGACTCATTTAAAACAAGACTGAGAGGGCAGGAATGCTACTTCAAAAAACATCAGAATGACAGTGCAGATATTCCTCCTTTAAAACATCTGAATGACAGTGCGGATATTCCTCCTTCAAAACATCTGAATGACAGTGCGGATATTCCTCCTTTAAGACATCTGAATGACATATAATGGTTACTAGTACTGAAAACATTCAACAGAAACAGCACAGGATAAGCTCCCCCCACACCATCAGATGGTCAGTTTGGCACCCTCACCTTGAGCACATTTGTGCGGCCCACACAGCCTGCAGGATTTATGTTTGTTATGTACACAGGCGTGTCTCCACGGTGACTGCCCACGCCACCTGCGATGCTCACACCCAAAGTTTCTGACGGACTCTAAGAGTGAAAAAAACAACAACAGTGAAACAGAAAACAAACTCAAATAAATAAATATTAAATTATAACATGCAACAAAAAAAAGTATAGAAACGACCAGACAAGATATTAGGCTGAACTGTAAGCACTAAATGACAAAGAAATTGCACAAGATGATAATGATTAATGAAAAGGTGGATCGGTTTGTGCTTTTGCACTTGCTTATCATTATCAATAAAGCATTTTTTGTTCTACTTTTGCTTTAGCCCATTATGATTTTGAGTTCATCTTGTTTGTACAATGGTCTCCATTCTATCTTATGTTCTCCTTATATATTTTTTTTATATCCATTTTTTAAAGTGGCCTGTATAAAATGTTTTTTTTAAAAAAGAATTGTTTCCTATGGAATTCCTGGTTTCTGAGCATTAATTTAATAAACGTAATAAAGCATTTCCGGAGTGAAAGGGTTACACTGATAACAAGAAAACATCCTAAACTATAAAAAAGAGAACAAACTGTTTTTAAATGTAGGTAGTTGTACCCCACCAGGACATCACACAAGCGATAAACACCCAGTGACACAAAGTGCCACCATGCGGATGAGGATCACCCGTGGAGAGGTCCCAGAAACTCCTTTCAGCCATTTGGCTATTTCTATGGCCCGGCTTTACTCAGGGCCCCAGGCAGGGTTGGGCTTCAAATAACAAAAAATTGCATCCTACATAGGGGACGACAAACTGTTTTGATCTTGTCCGTGCTTTATTAGGCAGGACTAAAGAAATGCAGCTGGATGGTCTGAGATAAAGGATATAATTTACACAATATATTCAATACACCAAGGACTGAAATCTGCGATGATACATGATTAAACCTTAGTCACTCCCTTGTGGGATGCAATTTTTTTTTTATTTTGAAGCAGTACACTGGCTCTTGCCAGGGGTCGCAATATAACCCTGCCATAAATATGGTTTAATGGCTGAACGCGGTTTCTGGGACCTCTCCATGGGTGATCATCCACATGGTGGCACATTGTGTCATCGGGTGTTTATCGCTCAGTGTGATGTCCTGGTGGGGTAAAAGTACTATTACTACTACTATGATGCATCAATCCTAAGTCATCTGACACTGACACAGCACATGATGATGATTATCCAGCAAGAAAATTCACACATGTTATCATCTTTTTTGTCCTATTGTATAGGCTGTAGAGGGTCACACAGGAGTTAAATGTAAGTTTCCCATCTTTTGCTAGTTGCATCATCACAATCATCATCATAAACCACTTCTGCCGTTAAGCGATGTGGGGTGGAATAATTTGCGATCCAGAGCATGCTGGCTCCCACTGGCTATTGTCATGCCTTGGAGGAATAAGGTGTCTTTAATGTTGTCAATCCATTTTTTTTACAGCGTCCTCTTGCACTCGTAGCTGATCTTCTGAGATGTAGTGTCTGTGTTGGTATCTGATCTTGCTGCATTCTAACAAGACGGCCAAACCACTTGATCTGTTGTTTCTTGATAAATCTAGTTCAGTGGTCTGCAAACTCAATAGTTGAAAGAATCAAAAATCCACAGAAGGATGATAAAAAAAAATTTGAGAACGACATTTCTTCTTTCCAAGAACATGTCAAGAACGTTTTTCAGAGTCAAAATCGATTTGTGGCTGACTGGCTGAGCCACACTCAGGTCCCTAAAGATTTGTGGCTGACTGGCTGAGCCACACTCAGGTCCCTAAAGATTTGTGGTTGACTGGCTGAGCCACACTCAGGTCCCTAAAGATTTGTGGTTGACTGGCTGAGCCACACTCAGGTCCCTAAAGATTTGTGGTTGACTGGCTGAGCCACACTCAGGTCCCTAAAGATTTGTGGTTGACTGGCTGAGCCACACTCAGGTCCCTAAAGATTTGTGGTTGACTGGCTGAGCCACACTCAGGTCCCTAAAGATTTGTGGTTGACTGGCTGAGCCACACTCAGGTCCCTAAAGATTTGTGGTTGACTGGCTGAGCCACACTCAGGTCCCTAAAGATTTGTGGCTGACTGGCTGAGCCACACTCAGGTCCCTAAAGATTTGTGGTTGACTGGCTGAGCCACACTCAGGTCCCTAAAGATTTGTGGTTGACTGGCTGAGCCACACTCAGGTCCCTAAAGATTTGTGGTTGACTGGCTGAGCCACACTCAGGTCCCTAAAGATTTGTGGCTGACTGGCTGAGCCACACTCAGGTCCCTAAAGATTTGTGGCTGACTGGCTGAGCCACACTCAGGTCCCTAAAGAGCTCAGTCGTGAGTCCCGATTTTCCGACCACTGATCTAGTACAAGCTGCCATGCCAAAAATACGTCTGACAGTATCATTATTCACTCAAACTCAGATGGTTAGGTCGGTGGCTTTTCTCAGGCATCTCATCTCACAAGTGTTGATTTTGCGTACATGAAATTTAGATAGTGTCCATGTCTTGCACTGATAGCTTAATGTTGGAATTAATATGTTGTTTACAATCTGTCTCTTTAAACTTAGTTATGTTTTTATGACTTAATAATGGTGACAACTGGTATATAAGTGTGCTTGCTTTCTGACATCTGGTTATATTTCTCTGTCAATTCTGCCATCATCTGTGATCACAATTCCTAGATATTTTAACTCCTTAATCATCCCAATAATTCAGATGTTTGAGTAGTTGGCCAGTTGCTTTCTACTAACTTGCATTGTTTCGGTTTTGTTTGCGTTGATCTTCATGTTGTATTTATTGTATACTAAGTTTAACCTGTTTATGTGGTCTTGCAGTCTGTCTTCTTCACTGTAGAATAAGCAATGGTCATCAGAAAATAGTAGTTCATTTAATGTGGGTGAGTCAATATATTTGTCTGATATATCTACTTCCTCATGAGAATAATGATCTATTAGAACTTGCTTCTTTAGATATTCTGTCTACATAAATGCTGAATACAAGTAGAGATGGCACACACCCCTGTTTCACACATGTACTGACAGTCAATATATCTGATATGCCTTCTTGTGTTCTTACTGCGCTTTGGCTAGCATTGGTACATGGCTATGATATTCTCTAGCTATTGTCTCTGTACCCCACAATTCTTAAGAACAGACCATGGTTTGTTTTTGCGTTTTTATAGTATCTCGTTTACTACCTCCACCCACATCTTTCTTGGTCAGCCTCTTGTCTACATATACACTAGCTGAAAAAAAATTTTACTTACTTTATTAATGGTTACAATTTTCTCCTTGCACACATGACACAGAGGCGAGACAGGCTTCTCATGGTCATCTGAAAACATGGCGTATTTGCTGTGTTCCGCAGCCGACCGGATAATGTCAGGTGTCTGCGGCCTTGACCTCCGAGCGATGACAAACTGCACCCGGGCTGGACTGGATGTGATGATGGCTGCTGCTTGCTCCTGTGTCCCGTACAAAACATCCTGGCCGTTAATCTCTAACACTCGGTCGTCCATTTTCAGCCGTCCATCACAGGCAGCTAATGATCCTGGAATCTGACAAGTTGGCAAGGGAAATTATATTACCACAAGATGGGAAGTGGCATTAAAACAAAATGGGAAGTGGCAATAAAACAAGATGGGAAGTGGCAATAAAACAAGACGGCAAGTGGCAATAAAACAAGACGGCAAGTGGCAATAAAACAAGATGGGAAGTGGCAATAAAACAAGATGGGAAGTGACAATAAAACAAGATGGCAAGGGAAATGATATTAACACAAGATGGGAAGTGGCATTAAAACAAGACGGCAAGTGGCAATAAACAAGATGGAAAGTGGCAATAAAACAAGATGGGAAGTGGCAATAAACAAGATGGAAAGTGGCAATAAAACAAGATGGGAAGTGGCAATAAAACAAGATGGGAAGTGGCAATAAACAAGATGGGAAGTGGCAATAAAACAAGATGGAAAGTGGCAATAAACAAGATGGAAAGTGGCAATAAAACAAGATGGGAAGTGGCAATAAAACAAGATGGGAAGTGGCAATAAACAAGATGGGAAGTGGCAATAAAACAAGATGGGAAGTGGCAATAAAACAAGATGGGAAGTGGCAATAAAACAAGATGGGAAGTGGCAATAAAACAAGATGGGAAGTGGCATTAAAACAAGACGGAAAGTGGCAATAAACAAGAAGGGAAGTGGCAAAAAAACAAGATGGGAAGTGGTATTAAAACAAGATGAAAAGTGGCAATAAACAAGACGGGAAGTGGCAAAAAAACAAGACGGAAAGGGGCAATAAACAAGATGGGAAGTGGCAATAAACAAGATGGGAAGTGGCAATAAAACAAGATGGGAAGTGGCATTAAAACAAGACGGAAAGTGGCAATAAAACAAGATGGGAAGTGGAATTAAAACAAGATGGGAAGTGGAATTAAAACAAGACGGAAAGGGGCATTAAAACAAGACGGGAAGTGGCAAAAAAACAAGATGGGAAGTGGTATTAAAACAAGATGGAAAGTGGCAATAAACAAGACGGGAAGTGGCAAAAAAACAAGATTAAAACAAGATGGAAAGTGGAATTAAAACAAGATGGGAAGTGGCATTAAAACAAGATGGAAAGGGGCATTAAAACAAGATGGAAAGTGGAATTAAAACAAGATGGGAAGTGGCAAGATTTCATCTGCTTAACACTCTTTACAGCCTTTACAACAATACTGATGGGTTACAAGACAAAGGTGCGGTTACTGTAATTTCCAGACTTTCAATGTTTTCATATCAAGCCCCTTGTATAATTATATATTATTTTACATAATACACACTGTAAAATTATAATAGCCTTTTGCCTACTAAAATATCCCAGTTGCTGTGATGCCAGTTTTCAATTCAACTGAACTCATTAACAGCCTTCACCGCCAACACTTTGGCATCTATAAAGGATATTCTTGTCTTAGTCACAAAATACCGTGCTCTTCCTCTAGTCTCCTCACTGAAGTATTGGGGCAGATGTAAATTATTCTTTGTGCTCTTTGTGTTGTATAAAATGATCTTCATTTATTTAAGGCTGTTCTTAATGCTGTCATTCCATCTTTCTCATGGTCTTTCCCTTGCTCTATTTTCATTATATTTCTTCAGGGTGGCTTTCTGAAGTTGCTGATACCAGGGGATTCTCATCAGATGGCCAAACCATTACAGCTATTGCTCTTTAAAAAAATATATTCATATAGCTTGAACTCAAAAAAAGTATAGCCACAGCGAGGCACAGATTAAACAGCATCAAAAGTCTATGGCTAAACACTAGAAAGGAAATCAAAGTCAGAATTCTGAGAACATGCATCTTCTCTGTAGCAACATATGGATGTTAATTGCTGACTATCCCACAGTGACAACATAAGAATACTTTACTTTACTTAGTCACTCCTCTTCTACCTTGGGGTGTAGAGGTTTGCCAGAGAGTTCGCCAGACGTCTCTATCAGCAGTTTTAACAACATAAGAGTAAAGGGACTGAAATGCTATAGAAAGATTCTCAGAATACGATGGATCAAGAAGACAAGAAATCAAAGACATCGTCAAAGATCTGAACATCAAGGAAGGTTGGCTAGTAAACAGCATCTTGCCTCAGAAAATGCAAAATTTAGGCCATATCCAGCGCTACAACAGATAGGGAAGAACAGAAGCAGCAGATATGGTGCCAGGATAGAAAGGCAGGGGTTGACCAGCACATAGACTGGTACAGGAGTGACATCTTGGATAGAAAAGTACACGAGGCGGGAGAGCTGGCGAGAGCCGAGTTTCTCTCCGGCAGACTGTGATGAAAGTGAGACTCTGAAAAAGACAATCACATGCTTAATTTCATTTTAAAATAGAAAGTACAAATTCAACCACTTACCAGGGTCAGTATGTACACACCTGGACCACTCCTGTAAGTAAATAAAACAGGTCAAAATGTATGTACTCATAAAACAAATTACACTATAACACTCACAAATTAATTAATCAGGAAACCAGATTTTAGGAGAATTATGATAATGGTTAGAATTCTTCTTCTGCTGCTTAGTGTCCACCAGCTGTAAACTCTGGCAGAAAGTTATGGGTTGAGTCGAGCCATGAATTGACATCACATCACTCAGGGCATTTCCATGTGCGCTCCGTCCTCATCTTCAGCAGCCAGCGCAGAGTTCCAATACTAATGGTACCAGTGGTAATCTGGTTATATGTCTGTCTTGCCTTTTCTCTGAGTGTAGTGACCCGGGCCAAACCCTCTGGTTACACCCAGATGCTTCATTCTCTCTAGGCCATAAAAATCTTGTTTCTCTTCGTCTTCTTCAGTGATCTCTGGTCATGCGCATAATCCACTGTGGGTCATAAACTGGGATGTCTTTTCAAGGTCTCTTAGGTTTCCCCAAGCTTAGTTGTCAGTTCTAATGGGTGTTGCCATATGTTGCTCCGCAGCTCTGCCAGGAGAGGACAGTCTTGCAGGACATGTTCTGGAGTCTGTTCAGCACGAAGGCACTGGCAGAGAGCTGTTTGGCTCATACCTAATTTATGTGAGTGTTTATTGAGTCTGCAGTGTCCAGTACATAAGCGAAAAACTGTGACTTGGTCTGTTCTGTTCAAGTGTTTCAGAAAATCTTTTCCGTAGTAAAACCAGTGTTGGTTTTTCAATCTGTTTCTGATTTTCTCTTAATGAAAGTTTTGACTTCTGGAAAAGATAGTGGCTGGTAGGTCTGTGGTTTGTTACTGCCTTACTTGGCTAAAGCATCAGTGCTTTCATTGCCTTTGATACCACAGTGAGATGGAATCCACTGCAAGTGAATTTCTGCCTTTTTTGACAACATAGCAAGTTCGTTTGTTAGACTTTGTAGTGTGCTGTCGGTAGGTTTGGACTCAAGGGCCTGTATAGCTGACAGTGAGTCAGTGAGAAAAACCATCCTGCCTGCGGTAATTTGCAGCTTGTTCATATACTGTGCTGCCATCAAAAGGGCTGAGAGCTCTGCCTTGTAGTTAGAGCAAGTTCGTCCGGTGGGGGCTGCCAGGGACACAGTAGTGGCATTTGGGTGTTTTCTGTAAACACCTGCCCCACCATTCATAGTTGCCTCTTTAGCTGATCCATCCGTGTAGATTCTCGTCCAGCTGTCCTGTGGGAACATGTTGTTGAGGTGTTCCATTGTGAGTACTTTCTTTGCTAAAGCGGGCTCAGCATCTTTGTTTCCCAGGTTCGGGATGGATGTTGACACATTGGGTGTCAATAATTCGGAGTCCCAGAGATCGAAAGATAACTCTTCAGGTGTACATTGTTGGTTAAGTAGTGAAGAGAATGGCTTTCCAAATTCCTTAGTTAGATGGTTTAGGCTTGTGCGCTTTATTCAGTTTTTTTGTCCTGGCTGCCAATTTTTCGTGCAATGGGTGGTTTAGCATTCTCTTCATTTTTTCCGCATGTAAAATTGCTTTTGTCCTTCTTCTTTCTTCTAAGGGGATGATGTTGGCTGCCTTTTCCATTTCTACAATAGGTGTAGATTTTATGGCTTCTAGAATTGTACGTAGACTTCTATTTTGCGTTTTTTTCTAGTACCTGTTTATTGGAATGTGCTGCTGTTATCCATGACAATGATGCGTATTCGAGAGTTGGTATGACTGTGCCGGTGTATACCTGCTTCAAGATACAACTGTCTGTTCGCAAGTGGTGCCTGCCAATTTCTTCATCACATCTTGTTTTCTCATAGCTTTTTTGTTAGTTTCTAGTATGTGATGTTTTCATGTCAGACGACTGTCAAGCTTGACTCCCAGGAAGGTTGGAGTATTAGAGCGTGGAACAGCATCATTGTTGAATTTTAATGTAAACTTTTCCTCCTTTGTAGACAATGAGAAGAGTGTTGCTACGGTTGTGTTCTTGGTTTCTCTTCTGACTTCATTACATGTTCCCAGAGGGCCTTGACCACATCTGCCTTGTCATGCATCAATGCACCACCCAGTGGTACAGATTCAGCCAATATGACAGCCTGTTCATTCCCCACCACGCCGGCAGTGCCCGGACAAAAGATCCAAAGTATGCTCACAACCAGTGACCTTACCAGTTAAGCTTGCCACTCTGCTCAAATCATCCCTGTCTTCACCTTTTTCAGCATGCTCTCAGAGTCTGTTACAACTACGAAATGTGTATGCATCGTGTTCTCTAGCCACCAGAGAGCTGCAGTTACAGCCTCCGCCTCCATTCTCATGCTAGATGTTGTGATGTTGAATTTTTTAGGTTTGGAACATCAGCGCTAACAATCCTGTTGTCCAAAGAACACCCCAGGATGGTTGCCTTTTCTGGGTTGATTACAGCACTCATCTCTGTACACCAGTCGATCACCTTATCTACTGTCACCTGTAACTCCTGAGCTATTTGATCCCGATCTCTCCCCTTCCTATATACAAGAACATCATCTGCAAATGTCAATATTCCGCCAACTTCAGGTGTTTCCAGGTTCGAAGCCTTGCTCGTAAAAACCCTGAACAGTACAGGTGAAATTGCAGATCCCTATGGTAGTCCTGGGCTATAGTCCTGGTTCGGAGGTGGTTCGTTCAGGGTGTTCAGCCATTTCTGGACTCTGGTCTTGTTCCAGAACCTGACCGTGGCATGCACACCCATTACACAGATCTGGATTACTTGTACACAGACTAATGGTTCCTCACCTCTCAGCAGGTGCACTCTGACACTGAAACACACCCCTAAGTAGGTGCACTCTGAGACTGAAACACACCCCTGAGTAGGTGCACTCTGAGACTGAAACACACCCCTGAGTAGGTGCACTCTGAGACTGAAACACACCCCTAAGTAGGTGCACTCTGAGACTGAAACACAAAACCTAAGTAGGTGCACTCTGACTTTGAAACACACCCCTAAGTAGGTGCACTCTGAGACTGAAACACACCCCTGAGTAGGTGCACTCTGAGACTGAAACACACCCCTAAGTAGGTGCACTCTGAGACTGAAACACACCCCTAAGTAGGTGCACTTTGACACTGAAACACACCCCTAAGTAGGTGCACTCTGAGACTGAAACACACCCCTAAGTAGGTGCGCTCTGAGACTGAAACACACCCCTAAGTAGGTGCACTCTGAGACTGAAACACACCCCTAAGTAGGTGCACTCTGACTTTGAAACACACCCCTAAGTAGGTGCACTCTGAGACTGAAACACACCCCTGAGTAGGTGCACTCTGACTTTAAAACACACCCCTAAGTAGGTGCACTCTGACACTGAAACACACCCCTAAGTAGGTGCACTGACACTGAAACACACCCCTAAGTAGGTGCACTCTGACACTGAAACACACCCCTAAGTAGGTGCACTGACACTGAAACACACCCCTAAGTAGGTGCACTCTGACTTTAAAACACACCCCTAAGTAGGTGCACTTTGACACTGAAACACACCCCTAAGTAGGTGCACTCTGACACTGAAACACACCCCTAAGTAGGTGCACTCAAACTTTGAAACACACCCCTAAGTAGGTGCACTCTGACACTGAAACACACCCCAAAGTAGGTGCACTGACACTGAAACACACCCCTAAGTAGGTGCACTCTGACTTTAAAACACACCCCTAAGAAGGTGCACTCTGACACTGAAACACACCCCTAAGTAGGTGCACTCTGACACTGAAACACACCCCTAAGTAGGTGCACTCTGACTTTGAAACACACCCCTAAGTAGATGCACTCTGACTTTGAAACACACCCCTAAGTAGGTGCACTCTGACTTTGAAACACACCCCTAAGCAGGCCTTTCTGACATGATAATTAGGGGACAATGAGTCTGTTCATCATCACCCCTCTTGCCCACCTTTCCTGACATGGCCCAGAATCCAGGGAGGTTATGCATATTATGCTGAACTTGTCCAAAATATTACATTACAAGGAAAAATTCTCAAGCACTACATGAGTGATGTGAGTAAAGCACAACTTTCCATGCCATCAGATGTATTCAGTAAATAGTACTACAATTAATGTTTTTTGTTTTATAGAACAATCTGCACTCGGTGGGTGATGGCATTATGCCAACCGCCTTTATGTTGGGTCAACCTGGAAAACCATGGTCATTCTTTAACCAATTATACGACTGAATGCAAATGTGAACTCACAATCTTTGAGTCCACACAAGAGCTCCTTGCTACTACGCCAAGGTGGTTCCCCACTCTCAAGATATCCAAACAAGTCTCTTACCTTTTGCCCACAAGTTTGATACCGAGTTGTTTTCCTTTATGCTTGCACAATGTAATTTTCAGGATTTCTGTCGGCAGAAGACGAGAAAACAGTATTATTTGAGTGGTTGTGGGAACTCGCTTCTGCTTGCTACCTCTCACTGGAGCATAGGAGAAAACAGCATTATTTATACAGTTGTGGGAACTGTTTTTTTCTGCTCACCAGTCCCCAGGGCAGCATAGGAAAAAACAGCATTATTTATACAGTTGTGGGAACTGTTTTTTTTTTCCTGCTCACCAGTCCCCAGTGCAGCATAGGAGAAAAACAGCATTATTTATACAGTTGTGGGAACTGTTGTCTTCTCCTCAATAGGCTCCACTAAAGCACATGAAAAAGCAGTATTATTTATAGTTTCCAAAATTGTTACCCTTTAGCCCCCAGCAGAACACATTAGACAACAGCAATGTTTATACAGTTGTGGGAATTTCTGAAATTTAGCTCCCACTGTAGCATATAAAACTTTTCGATAAACAGATCATGCTAATATTGTTTGTTACTTGTTATCTGTACTGACATCCTAGCATAGCGCTATTCAAAATCTGCGGATCACTGCCAGTTGTATCAGATTAATGATCTTTCTATGGGGGCAACTCAAGCCTCTGATCCGTGATAATCCCCATTTTCAATATTTTGGACTGGAGTAAACTTTGCTGAACAGTCGTCTCCTGGAACACGCGCCATCCTCAGACGTAGCAGCCATCTCAACGACTCCATGCTCACCATACCCACTTCTATTTGACTGGCACACCTGAAACTGACATTTTACATAATACATGTATTTTTATTTTCGTTCTTTTTAGGACAAAATTTTTTCATTATTTGAAGCCCCACTCTGGCTTTTTCCAGGGGCCGCAATATAGCCAGGCCATAAATATGGCCAAATGGCTGAACGCGGTTTCTGGGACCTCTCCACGGTGATCCTCATCCACATGGTGGAACATTGTGTCATCGGGTGTTTATCGCTTGGGTGATGTCCTGGTGGGGTAGAAAGTCAAGTCAATCAGTCAACTAACATTACTATGACCTTGTTGGGAAGCTGTATTTCTGGATTGTTCCAGAACTGGTTGTTTGGTTGCCAGTTTTTCAAATTTGGGACATTTAATTTGCACTGGCACAGGAACGGAGCAAGTAAGGGGAAACCTGGTTGCGGTGATGTTGAAACCTCGACTAAGACTGTTGGGAAGCTGCTGGGGGGGCAGACATCAGGCTGGAGTAAATGATACAGCATCTCAGGCCACCACGTAGATATTCAGCCGTAAAGCCTACCCTGATAGTTTACTTAAGTCGAGTAATCAAAGTTCACAAAAACGAGGCTACAGCACACTCAGCCCAGGAGTAAAACATCACACAGCAAACTGTCACAATACATATTTTTTGACAAAACATTTGTGCCTACCCGCTATCATAAATAAGGATGCAAAAATTACACAATGCCATCACCATAATGCAATGGCACATAAGAGCTTACATCGAAGACACTAGCTCATACATACTTACAATTAATAACAAACAGCGCTCTGGGACACAGACAAATAACACTGTAGTCTAAAGACCCATGAGCTGACACACTGCTTCAAGTGCCTGCAAACGAGCCGGCTGGCCAATTACAATCGCTCTAGCACTAGAAACGGACACTGAATTATTCATTCTCAGTTTTGCTGTGCAATGATAAACAGCACTGTAACGGCACAAACATGATTTACTGGCTTGGGACTGCAAATTGCACAAGTGTTAGGGACCTAATTTGCTCTATTTATTTTATATACTTCACTAGGTAGGCCAGCTGACAGACTTAACTACCCAGACACACCTAAGACAACACTCCTGCTGAGTACAAACACAATCTTTAATGTACAATGAACAGCACGACGTTAAACACTTCAACTGAGCCAAGCAGTTCCCATCTGAAACCCCCTGGCGATGACAGCTTTACAATCACTGGTTAACCCAGGCCAGTTCCCATGGATCTATCAGGAACATGACTCTTAGCTGACAGTTTCTCAGTGCCAATTAAGCCGCCGTCTATTGCCACACTGGACTCAGCAATACACGTAAGGTGTATGGCCTAAGCGTGACCGGGCAGTGTTACCGCCATTACAATGTGCGTCACACCTTGATTAACTGCTCAAAACAAATACTGCATGGAATGTCTACTACACAAAGAACCTTAACTCTATACTATCTAGTCGAAACATTACATAGAAATACAGCCTACCATAGATACTAAATACAAATATCCTATTTCAACTAACCGTCGCTAAACCTAATTTTACAGTTCCGACTTGTTGTCTCCTGTCTCAGCACACGACTCCCCTCCAACCAGTTGGGACAAAGCTTTTTGTTTCCGGCCCAAGTTCACGGTTTAACACGCAGTAATCCATATCACCTGTGTGAACTAGGCTTGGTCCGTTAACTGGACCCAGTTTATTCCGTGGTCAAGCTGTCCGCTCTCATACTGAGTTGTACTGAAGGTCAACTCGTTCATACGTGATGATTCACTCGGAGTTGTCCTTCCCATAGCCGAACTGACCTCTGACAACAAGTCTCCATGACATACAGGTGTGAGCCACAACACAAGCGAGGGACACAACATGCCCGTACGGTAGGATGGCTTCCCATACAAATCGAATCTCCTTGAGACTTGTCTGAGATTATCCCATATGACCTAGATTTCGCCATGGAGACACATGGGTCGCTCGCTTGTTAGGCCTGATCTTAAACTGGACTCGTGGTGATTCTTGTGCCACCCCTGTGTACTGGCCTTTACATACAAAGTTTCAGGTATGAGTGTTAACTCATGTACGTTAACCCTTCTACACTGGATTCTCCAAATGTCACCATTCTCAATTAAATTCAGATTTGACACACAACAGACTTCATACCTTCTTTCTCTATTGGTCTGGTTTCTTCTGCCCTTTCTCTGTACACAGTGAGACGACACACAGGAAAAAACTGAGCAAGTATGGCCACTGCCTGTTGGTGAGTAGCCTGGGTCAAATCTTCACCATTTACCTGCAAGAGAATTTATTGAAAACAACATTTGCAAGAAGATACATTTAGATTTGATTTCAATAAATTTTAAGAATTAATGTCACTTTCCTCTTTTTCTTCATCTGAGTGCTGTAACTGTGTTGTGCCTGTTTACAGCAAAGCTGTGATAGCTGCGCCTTTCGACTGACACATTTGACTTCATCGAGCATTTGTTGACCAGGCTAACTTCCCGGAGAATTATTGTAATGATTAGAACTGAAAAATGTCTGAGTCGAATTTGAAATAGAAAATGATGTGCCTACTTGACAATGAAAGTTAGCTAGTGTACCTATTGCTTGCTTTGTAAATGTTATGTTGTCAGGCTCTAATACTTCTATGGTGCAACTCTCATACCAAAAACCTTAAAAGAAATTTTTTCTTTTTAATTAATAAATAAAACATCCACCATGAAAACGAACCCTAGTACTCAAAGATCATAGACCTATTAAACGCATTAGCTAACCTTAAAGCCACAGAGCCACACCAGCAAATATTGATGTTCTTTCCCAAATACAGGTGTTCTTTCGCAAATACTGATGTTCTTTAACAAATACTGATGTTCTTTCACAAATACTGATGTTCTTTCACAAATACTGATGTTCTTTCACATATACTGACGTTCTTTCACAAACACTAACCTTCTTTCACAAATACTGATGTTTTTTCACAAATACTGATGTTCTTTCACAAATGCTGACATCCTTTCACAACTTAATAATGTCTGCCCCAACTAATGATGCAATACCACAAATAACAAGACTAATGATGCAGTATCACAAATAACAAGAAATGTCTGCCCTAACTACTGATGCAGTACCACAAATAACAAGAAATGTCTGCCCCAACTACTGATGCAATACCACAAATAACAAAAAATGTCTGTCCCAACTCATAACAAATAACCAAAAATGTCTGCCCCTGAGTACTGATACAGTGCGCCAAATAACAAAAAATGTCTGCCGAAATATTGACTGACTGTTCTGCAGTCACTTTTGGCAAATGTTTCCCCCAACTTCTGGCCACCCCCTGTGTAGAGGTGAATTCTATAAACACTTTCAGATAAACGGAGACTTTACCTCAAGAATCTGGTCTCCTGCAATCAGGCGATTATCATGGGACACTGCTCCCTCTGGAAACACTTCCTGTATGACAGTGCACACCTAGGGGAATCATTATAAAAGATCAACATTCAACTGGAAACATGTACAAGGAGAAAAATGGACAGGAGGAGCTCATGCAAAATAATAGAGATAAAAAGGAATCTGAATATAAAATACTGTAACAAAAAAATTATAAATTAGATAAAGGTTTGCTAAACATTCGTGCCTGCTCGGCTGAGAACAGTAAGATGAGGCATACATATTAGACGGCAGTCTCTATGAACACTGTCCCAGCAAACTAACACAACATTCGTTACCAACACTGTCCTAGCACACTAATGCAACATTCTCTGCCAACACTGTCCTTGCAAACTAATGCAACATTCTCTACCAACAACACTGTTTTTGCAAACTAATGCAACACTCTTTGACAACACTGTTCTGGCAAACTAATGGAACATTCTCTACCAAAACTGTTGTTGCAAATACATTCTCTGCCAACACTGTTCTTGCGAACTAATGCAACATTCTCTGCCAACACTGTTCTTGCAAACTAGTACAACATTCTTTACAAACACTGTCCTTGCAAACTAATGCAACATTATCTACCAACAACACTGTTTTTGCAAACTAATGCAACACTCTTTGACAACAATGTTCTGGCAAACTAATGGAACATTCTTTACCAAAACTATTGTTGCAAATACATTCTCTACCAACACTGTTCTTGTGAACTAATGCAACATTCTCTGCCAACACTGTTCTTGCAAACTAGTACATCATTCTTTACAAACACTGTCCTTGCAAACTAATGCAACATTCTCTACCAACACTGTTCTTGCAAACTAATGCAACACTCTTTGACAACACTGTTCTGGCAAACTAATGGAACATGCTCTACCAAAACTGTTGTTGCAAATACGTTCTCTACCAACACTGTTCTTGCGAACTAATGCAACATTCTCTACAAACACCATCCTTGCAAACTAATGCAACATTCTTTACCAACACTTACCTTGCAAACTAATGCAACATTCTCTACCAACACTTACCTTGCAAACTAATGCAACATTCTCTACCAACACTGTTTTAACAAACTAATGCAACATTCTCTACAAAAATGTCCTAGCAAATTACTGCAACACTTGCTCTGAACAGTGTCCTAGCAAAACTAATGCAGTATTCTCTAGAAACATTTTCCTGACAAACTAACAAAACATTATCTAGGAACACTGTCCTAACAAACCAAGGCAGTGATTCATTTGAACACTGTGCTAGCAAACTAAGGCAGTGTTCCATATGAACACTGTCCTAACAAACCAAGGCAGTGTCCAATAGGAATGCTGTCCTAGCAAACCAAGACACTGTCCACTATGACACGGTCCTAGAAACCAAGACACTGCCCTAGCAAACCAAGACACTGTCCTGGCAAACCAAGACACTGTCCTAGCAAACCAAGACACTGTCCTAGCACACCAAGACACTGTCCTAGCAAATCAAGACACTGTCCCCTTGAACACTGCCCTAGCAAACCAAGACACTGTCCTAGCACACCAAGACACTGTCCTAGCAAACCAAGACACTGTCCTAGCAAACCAAGAGTGTCCTAGCAAACCAAGACACTGTCCTAGCAAATCAAGACACTGTCCACTATGACACCACAGCTACATACAAACACAAACAAACATCACACTTACCAAGGGGGTATCACAGCCTCCCACAACACTAATCCCCAAACTTTCTCCCTCTCGTCTCTGAATCTCAATTGTGGACACCTCTCCTTCCATCACAGGATTTTTCCCTGATGGAATTAAACAGACAGACATGAGCATTCGCACAGTCAGAAAAGAATGTTCTCTTTCTGCAGTCAGAATAACAGACAGATACAGGCAAACATACAGTTATTTATATTATTACACCGACTGCTCATGATGATGATGATGCAACTGCGGGGAATCAGGATTTTTATTTTATTTACAGTAAATAATCTTTTTCTTTGTTCACCGGCTGTAAGCTCCGGTGGAAATTCCTGGTTGTTCGTCCATTTGGACTTTGGCATTGTGCCAGAGGGTGAGTTTTGCATGTGCATCCGTTTTACTGACTTATTTGTGTGTAGCTGGTTGTTCCTTGCCGCTCTGGCAGATGACTCAAACTTTGAAGTAAGCTCCCAGTCAGTCGACTCTTATGACATGCTTGCTTGTTGAGGAGGCAGTGGGTCTTTTTGTTTTGTTTCTTCATGTGGCCCTGGAGACCACACCAGGAGCAGTAAATAATGACTGGGCAAAGACAATAAATAAATTACAGACATTCATTAACTGGTGCCTGCGCAGAATAGAGGGAATAAAATGGTATGATAGAATAACTAATGTAGAACTTTGGGAGAGAACTAAACAGGCTCCAGTGGATCAGGAAGTGAGGAAAAGACGCTGGCGTTGGATAGGGCACACACTGAGAAAACAGGAGAACAGCATTACTAGAATGTCTTTGCATTGGAACCCACAGGGGCATAGGAATAAAGGAAGGCCAAAAAACACATGGAGAAGAGAGCTGGAGAACGAGGTTAGAAAGATTGGGAGGACATGGGGAGAGCTCCATGCAATGGCGAAGGATAGAACGACTTGGCGTGAGTTGGTTGAGGGCCTATGCTCCATTGGGGGATAGAAAGGCAGAAGAAGAAGAAGAAGACAAATGCTGTGCATGAAATAACCAGCATTAACAGGGTGAGGAACACACAATTAGAGGCTCACACTTTTGCAAATGATATTCTTCAAATATATTAGAGAAACGAGGGCATCCAAGAGAGACCATAAGATGAACACTGATGACAGAACTCAAAGGTATGTAAAGGATCCTTTTCCACAGCTTTAGGTGTATAGGGCATATAGGGCTAGACCTATATTTTATAATCGGCACAAGATATGTGACGTGTCACTATCACGGCAGCCGCCTTTACTTCCTGGGACTGCACCTGGTACTTAAGGCTGGGTCGGCCTGGGAGCCAAGGTCATTTTTTTTTAAGTCTGGCTCCGCCAGGAAGCAAACCCACGACCTTCCAATCGGCGGCGAGCCTCTAGCCGCTCTGCAACGGCGACTCCCGAACTCAAAGGTGCTGGACTGAATTCCGTCAACAATATTAAAAGAATAGCATAGGACAGAATGGAATGGAGGAAAACAATGTGACCCTAATGACATGTATAATAGCACAACACTTCATTCCAATATCTGGACTAAGTATAACCTGACATAACATGACTGTACACAAAGATGAAGTCAAAGGGCACATACCAGCATTCTGGTCTCTGTACGGACACTCCCACAGATGGGACTGCAAGGCACTCCGAGGACCCTGGAAGGAACATCCTAGACTGGATTTGATGCATCGGGTTACGGCCCCACGACATCTACATCCAGAGAGAAAGAGAAATCACTAAAAGATAACTAATGGCCTTAATATCAAACACTGTGTTATCTAAAAATATTCAGCTCTGTCTCTCTCAGCAGAATGGCTAGCCACCTGCCAAAAGCATCGCTCAGAGCACAAACTCCGTAGCTCTAGTGACAATCCCCAGGGATCTCCGTAAAAACTGCACTTGTAAACTGAATGAAACAGCCATGAAATGAACCCACGACCTTCAGAGCGTGAGGCAAACAGCTTGACCACTTCGCCACGGAGACCCCCCCTCCCCCTTTACACGTGTACAGGGTATATGGTGTAAGCTGCATATCTGTACAAATGAATCCATGCTGGATACTGAGTCAATATCACATTGGCTGCATTTACGTCCCATACCATTTTCTGGTTCTTATTTCAAGCCGGCTTGACTCGGGAGACCATAACTTTTAAAACAAAGACAGGAAACTACGATGAAATACTGTATGTGACGCTTTATGGCATAGGCAGTAGGATCAAAGAAGAAGAGGAAGAAGAACAGGAAGAAGAAGATCAATTTAGGAGATAAAAAAATGTGTCTAAATGAGGGTGTGAATACATGACATTGAGAGCCAATAGCTCCCCCCCCCAAAACCTCACAAAAATGTGTGCCGTCTCCACAATGAAGGATGGCTGCAGCATCCTACTGTTGTCTTTCGGAATATTACTTGATAAGGTCCCAACCTCTTCCACAGTGTGACTCTCATATCACAGTCCAAAAAGAGTTTTTGTGTGTTTTAAATAAACAAACTGTCAGCTGTGGAAACTGAAGCCTAGTTCCTCGAGGGTCAAGAAACTGTTACATTCATTAATCTCAACACCACACAGCAGCATTATCATTCATCCGACCACTCAGTATATGTCACAAAGGACTCAGTTTTTTTCCTCTAATCCATTCTCTCCTGTGCAATCACTCTGCTTCTTCTTCTTCGCGTTCACCAGCTGTAAACTCTGGCGGAAAGTTCTGGTTGTTCATCCACTTCTGGAGTGCAGTCCTGTTCCAGAACCTGATTGTTGCATGTGCATCTGTTTTACAGATCTGACTCATTTGTATGCAGACTGCTAGTTCCTTGCCTCTCAGGCAGATGCGCTCCGCCTTCAAAGGAAGCTCCCAATTAGCTGACTTTTACGAACATGCTTTTGGGTATGCAGTGAGTCTATTCTTGTTTTCCCTATAATAGGGCCCCGGAACCCACATGGGGATACAATCAATCTGATAGGGATGGAAATCCAGTCCAGCACCTTTGGCCTCTTTTATCAACATTCACATTAGGGTTTCTCAGGGTCATGTTTGCTTCTTTAATTCCTCTATTTTTCATTTCAGTGCCTGTTTAGCGATGCTCTGTTTGTCTCTTCTGAGGATGTGTCCAATGTAGTGCCATCTTCTATGTCTTATAACTGCTGATACTAGTGGTCGACAAGACATCTCTCCAACTTTCACTGGCATATATTAGAACTTCTAAGGACAGTAACATCAGCACTATCAAGACATGTTTAAACAAGCACGGATTCAATACAACCAAGGCAACACATCTGGCCTTGTCATGCAAGCTTTGACTACACTCAATGACCGGTGTGCGTTAGGGTCAGAGGCATCCCTTATGTGCGGCTGGACAGCAGACAACAAGAGAGATAGCACAGATAGGGATGGGAGGAGGAGGAGGCTTGCAGGAATCTACTGTCACATCTCTCTTGTCTTCTTTCTTCTTTCTCAAGATAATTCAGCATTTGATATACATCGTTTTATACAGAGAGGGAGACAGTGGGAGAGAGGGGGAGCAAGGAGAGAGAAGGGAGAAAGCAGAAGGGGAAAAAGGGGATAAAAGAGGAGATGAGAGAGAGAAGAGGGTGAGAGAGGAGAGACAGGCAGAGGGGAGGAGAGAGAGAAGAGGGGAACAGAGTAAGAAGACAGAGGAACAGAAAGGTAAGGGAGAGTGAAAGAGACCGAAAGGGACAGACAGAGATAAAGAGGGAAAGGCCAGTGAAAGAGACAGACAAAGAGAGAGAGATATAAACAAGACAGTGAAAGAGACAAACCGAGAGACATATTGGGGGTAAAACAGAGTAAATAGAAACAGGATGAGCTAGAGAGAGAAATGTACAAAGCAAGCACAGACAGAAAAGAGAGAAGATGACAGACAAACAGACACAGACAGAGAGAAAAGTGTACCAGACTTGCCATTTAGTGTCTGGGCCGTTAAGACAAAATCAATAAATTACCCTCCAAGTTAATGTCATGATTGTTAGCATCAAATCAATAAGATTACACAAGTGATGGAATTATAAACCTCAAGCAACAACAACAAATGAATACAGCTCCCATTCTGCATGAAGAAACATATTAAGAGAACAAACTTTGTTCTGACATACAAAAAGCCAACTAACATTAAAAGATATTAGCTAGCTGCACAGTCGATAATTCTGGAAATGTTAGGAGAAGGAACACACCTGAGAGTCCGTGAAAATGGGAAGATTGATTGAAACAGGACGGGGAAAGAGGGGGTCAAAAAGATAATACTTGGAAGATTTGGCCACATAGATCTGTCACGAGAAGAACAGTGACCTGATCCGGGATTTTGGTAATCATGTGTTTAGTAAAGTACTGCTGGTGTATTTCATCAATGTTCATCATATTCTTCTTTGATGTCCTTGTTTTCTCGATTCATGTGCTTTTCAATATATTGTTTAATGTCTTTTTGGTTTTTTTTAAATAACACATTACCTGTGTAGTAAATGTGCCAACACATCACACCTGGTCATGACCTCCTCACAAGTCATCCCTGAGACACAGCATCATGGGGCTGTGTGGTCACGAGGCATGGTGTCCGCCCTGAGTGCTGGAGGTCCCAGGGATTTTTTTCACGTGGACTTCAAGTAATTGCCCCTGCTTTCTTGGTAGTAAGATCGGATGCCCGTGTGTATTGTTGCGCATGTAAAAAAATCACTTGGCAGTTGGAAATCAAAAACAAAATTTGAAGTTAAAAATCTACCCAAATTATTTCAGGATCCTCGCTGGTGGTACAGAGTTCATGCACTGAGATGAGATTCTTCTAACTAAAGAGTGAGTCAGAAGTAGAACGGAGCACTTAGGGGTTACTACCCTTGTGCCATGATGTTGATCCGTCGTCTAAACCTAAACCAAACATCATCCAACCAGATAACAACCAATCAATCAGACAACCAACCAATTAGACAGCAAACCAACCAGACAACTAATCAACCAGACAACCAACCAACCAGACGATCAACCAAACCAATCACAACCAACCAGTCATTCAGCCAACCAACCAGCCAATTATACAACCAACCAGCCAATCAACCAATCACAACAAATCAGACAACCAGCCAGCCAATCAGACAACCAACCAGCCAATCAGACAACCAAACAACCAGACAGCCAATCAGACAACCAACCAGACAACCAACCAATCACAACCCACCAACCAACCAACCAACCAATCACAACCAACCAATCAGACAACCAACCAATCAACCAATCAGACAACCAACCAATCACAACCAACCAATCAGACAACCAACCAATCAGACAACCAACCAATCAGACAACCAACCAATCACAACCAGACAACCAACAAATCACAACCAATCAGACAAACCAACCAACTAACCATGAACAAACACCTTACCTGTGCAGTAAATGTGCCTCTAGCTCACATCTGGTCAGGACTTCCTCACAATAGTCAACATTGGGACACACAACCAGCAGCTTGTCCAGCAACCTAGGGCAACCAGATAAAGATTGTGATTTTTAAGTAAACATGTAACAATGGATGCAATATCCATTCTGCAACCTCTCAATAATGATGCAATCGCTCGTTCTAATTGGAATAGACTGGCACTTTTCTATCTTCTCAGGCGATAGTGTTACACTGGGCTAAAGGGTATGGGAAACACAGCCCATGGATGGTGACTGTCACCAGCAAGACTGCACAAATCCTGGGCAGTTTTATAGAGAACATGTGGTGCCCATCTCTCTCTCTCTCTCTCTCTTGGCCTGCTTTGTCTACTACAAAGGAACAGTAACGTCAATAGGTCTGGAACAAAGCCTGCTGCACATCTCAGTCAAGACACAGATGTATTACACACTTGGAGATTTGGACTTTATAACTTTCATCAAGGCTGCTGGCATACTGATAAGTTTTCAGACAAAAGAACAAAAAAGGAGGAGGAGAAAGAAGAAGAAGGAGAAGCAGGAGGAGAAGAGGATAAAGAATAAGAAGAAGATGCAAATGGAGGAGGAATAGTAGGAGAAGAAGAGGAAGAAGAAGGAAAAGGAGGAGGAGGAGCAGTAGAAGAAGATGGAGAAGTAGTAGTAGAAGAAGGAGGAGGAGGAGGAGGAACAACAGGATGAGGAGAAGAAGAAACACAAATGACATATCAAGAGTACCTGTAAGGAGACAACAATACCGAAAACTTGTGGTCTTCCTCGCTGTATGAATTTCTCCCTGTCGCTGCCATACCACTGCATCAGAGTTCATTACAGGCGTACAGTAAAATAGGAAATTCACTACTGCAGCCACAGCAACACTAACAATAAACTGTACAAATTAGGCCACTTCGATGCTATCAGCCATCCAGCGCTGAGCAAACCCAATAGTTTTCAATTTCAAAGTCAAGCCATGTTTTATTTATGTTGAAATAATTATACATACATCTGTTTACGGAAGGCACCAGAAGTCAGACCAAAATAACCTTAGAAAGTAATGCTTATAATGGCCAGTTAATAACCAGAAATTAAAAAAAAAATTAAACTTTGCATGTTCAGAAATTTTCAATGGCAAAATAACATGTACTGCATGATTCAAGCTGTGACCTCTAACACTGAGGATAACAGGAAAATTTGAAATCAATTCGGCTTTCAAAAAAAAAACATTTTGTTTATAAGATACCCCTTCCCCTCCCCTACATGTTATTTTTTGAATAAATATATTCATACCAGGGCTCACTAACAGGTGTGAAGAGAACCTCTCTGTGCAGTTTTTGGGGGTCCTGTTGTGGGGAAGAGAAGAACAGACTCACTGCGTACAACAACAACAACAAAAAAAGCATGTCGTAAGAGTCAACACATAAAGAGCTTCCTTTGAAGTCGGAGTGCATGTGCCAGAGTGGCAAGGAACAACCAACTGCACACCCAAAAAAAGTAAGTAAAACGGATGTACATGCGGGACTTTCCACTGGAGCTTACAGCCAGTGAATAAAGAAGAAGAAGAACAGAACCAATCACAATAAATGACATTTCTTTGTGGTAAAAGGTCACTAGAGATATGTCAGTTTCTAAACATTTAGGAGAACTGAACCTAACCGGAGTGCCTAGTTTGCAGCTTCTGAGGGCAAAATAGTTCAGAGCTGAGCTCTGAAAACAAGCAAATTAAATACATGCTATGGTAACAAAGGTCCTGAAATAAAAGCCTCTAATTATCTTAACAACAAAAAATATTCAAAATTTATAAAGATATTTACAAGGGGTATCAAATAAACATGAATAGAGTGAAGAATTACAAAGAATACAGTCCCCAGGACTTTTAAAAAAAACCAATATGCATCAGGTGACTCATGCTGTGACCCATTACCTCCATCACTGAGGCTTATGGGAAAATTTGAGATCATTTTGGCATTCAAAAATACCACTAGGGTCATAAGGGAATCTCCAAATGCTTTTTTAGTTAATATATTTGTATCATGGCCAATTGAACTCTGTGCAGGTGCACAATAGAGTCGATGGATTTTTAAACCCCACTTTTTAAGAAGAGGTCACCACAGACATGGCAGAAATCCTTGTGTAGGTTGCGGTACCCCGCTGTGGGGAAAAACAAGATTAGACCCACTGCCTCGCCAAAAGGCATGTCGTAGGAGTCGAATAATTGAGGGCATCCTTCAAAGTCATAGTACATCTGCCTGAGGGGCAGGGAACTAAGAGTCTGCATTCAAATAAGCCAGATTTGTGAAATGGATGTGCACGCAACACTCCAGTTCTGGAACAAGACTAAAGTCCAGAGGTGGATGAACATCCAGAACTTTCCACTGGGGTTTACACAGATGGTGAACATAAGGAAGATGAAAAGAACAACAGAAATGTGATCCTACGACCTTCATAAAATTAACTGTCCTCATTTTTTGTAATAAGAGAAATAAGATAACACCGAAACACTAAAAGAGCAATCACGATCCAAGTCACAACAGAAGTATGTTCACACTATAGTTCACTGATTGGACATCCTTAGTAAAAGACACAATCAAAATGTGAAACACAGACTTCAAAAAATGAACATTCACAAGGAAAGATAACAACACAAATGTGATCACACTAAAGTTCACATATTGAACGTCCATGAGAAAAGTCATCACAATAGATACATGTTCCTGCTGCAACCAGACTGCACAACTGTCCTTGAGCCCACAGATGAAGCTAACCATATTTCATCTATCCAGACAACAGCTGCTACCAAACCTAGACAGCTTCAAGCCACTGACATCCCTCACCTATGTTTATAACAGGGGTTCTCATGCTGTATGACATGGCTACATAGTGACTTCATGCTGTATGACATGCCTACACAGTGATTCTCATGCTGTATGACATGGCTACACAGTGACTCTCATGCTGTATGACAGCCACACAGTGACTCTCATGCTGTATGACATGGCTACACAGTGACTCTCATGCTGTATGACATTGCCACACAGTGACTCTCATGCTGTATGACATGGCTACACAGTGACTTTCATGCTGTATGACATGCCTACACAGTGACTCTCATGCTGTATGACATGGCTACACAGTGACTTTCATGCTGTATGACAGCCACACAGTGACTCTCATGCTGTATGGCATGGCTACACAGTCACTCTCATGCTGTATGACATGGCAACACAGTGACTTTCATGCTGTATGACATGGCTACACAGTGACTTTCATGCTGTATGACACGGTTACACAGTGACTTTCATGCTGTATGACACGGCTACACAGTGACTTTCATGCTGTATGACATGGCTACACAGTGACTCGCATGCTGTATGACATAGCTACACAGTCACTCTCATGCTGTATGACATGGCAACACAGTGACTTTCATGCTGTATGACATGGCTACACAGTGACTTTCATGCTGTATGACATGGCTACACAGTGACTTTCATGCTGTATGACACGGTTACACAGTGACTTTCATGCTGTATGACACGGCTACACAGTGACTTTCATGCTGTATGACACGGCTACACAGTGACTTTCATGCTGTATGACACGGCTACACAGTGACTTTCATGCTGTATGACACGGCTACACAGTGATTTTCATGCTGTATGACATGGCTACACAGTGACTTTCATGCTGTATGACACGGCTACACAGTGACTTTTATGCTGTATGACACGGCTACACCGTGACTTTCATGCTGTATGACATGGCTACACAGTGACTTTCATGCTGTATGACATGGCTACATAATGACTCTCATGCTGTATGACATGGCTACATAATGACTCTCATGCTGTATGACATGGCTACACAATGACTTTTATGCTGTATGACACGGCTACACCGTGACTTTCATGCTGTATGACATGGCTACACAGTGACTCTCATGCTATATGACATGGCTACACAGTGACTTTCATGCTGTATAACATGGCTACACAGTGACTTTCATGCTGTATGACATAGCTACACAGTGACTCTCATGCTGTATGACATGGCTACATAGTGACTCTCATGCTGTATGACATAGCCACACAGTGACTCTCATGCTGTATGACATGGCTACACAGTGACTCTCATGCTGTATGACATGGCTACACAGTGATTCTCATGCTGTATGACATAGCTACACAGTGATTCTCATGCTGTATGACATGGCCACACAGTGACTCTCATGCTGTATGACATGGCTACACAGTGACTCTCATGCTGTATGACATGGCTACATAGTGACTCTTATGCTGTATGACATGGCCACACAGTGACTCTCATGCTGTATGACATAGCTACACAGTGATTCTCATGCTGTATGACATAGCTACACAGTGACTCTCATGCTGTATGACATGGCCACACAGTGACTTTCATGCTGTATGACATGGCTACACAGTGACTCTCATGCTGTATGACATAGCTACACAGTGACTCTCACGCTGTATGACATGGCTACATAGTGACTCTCATGCTGTATGACATAGCTACACAGTGACTCTCATGCTGTATGACATGGCTACACAGTGACTTTCATGCTGTATGAAACTACTACACAGAGAACTTTCATTTTCACTAGATTTACATGGAACAATATCAAAGCAAATGAAAAGTAGAGCCAGTCAGTTTCAAATGATCATAAACACAAACAACATGTGAACGCTGCAGCTGCAGAGCCTTCACCAGCACATTACACATATACAGAGTACGAGAAATATTAATAAGAATACACCAAATCATTTAACTGCCATATCTTAGAGAGAAATCATATATCGGTCTGGCCAGTTGAATCTCTCACAAGTGTATCGCCACAATAAAATACATGCCAGAAAAATCTTGGAAGGGCAAGGGTGGTGACTCAAAAATACTAGATAAAACTGTGTTGGATATGAATTCCCCTAGGTGAATTAGAGCCCATTAGATAGATAAGGCAGTTCTCGAAAGACTTACAGACTCTCACTGGAGAGATGAGTGGCCACTTGACTTACAAGATGTCAACAATTTTTAAAAACATTAATCATAAATCAG